CTATAAAAATGTTTTCCCTTAAAAAACAATGAAGTCTAGAGCAATCTAGTTTGCCAGTCACTCAAAATATTTGTTGGCTCCTTTTACTAAGCCAAAACAAAGATGAACAAACTCTTCCAGAGACGTCAGCTGGGGGATGGAGGTAGGCTTCAAGAAAGGGAAACAAGAAATCGTCTACTGTACCAAGTAAAACTCCAGCATAGAAGGACAATATTTACAGCAGAAAAGGGTTGTTCCTTAATAACTGAGAAGAATACCCAATCATAACAAGCTCTTCTGAATTAACACTTAATCCAAGTCATTGGAGAGCTCCAGCTAACGGTTCTTAATAGTGAGCTATACTAGCATGAATATAAATGTTACGTATAAACACAATGTGGTTGAAAATGGCATAGTCTGGAATCTGAAACATTCAGAATGAGAAACTACAACTCTTACATTTGACACCCCATTTGTACAGCTGGGTCTCTATCTCACGTGGGACAGGGACAAGTTTTTCCACCCAGATCTTGCGTTCTAAAACAAGAAAAAACACTGCGAAAAACTCACTATGTTAAACAGCTGTGAATAAACAAGCCGACCGTCTAATCTTTCGATGACGGCAGATCTATCTCTGCCACTAGATAAAAGATTAATCTTGTAAATAGAGACAGTTAAAAATAAACAGACAAACTCAAGTTAGCACTGCTTTGCCATGGTAAGAAGTTCTGACTCTTCTCTGGCATTTGAGGCGCATCCCAGATGACTCAGTTTAAGGGGAAAAGGGATAAATTGATATTATGTCTGCCAAATGCCAGAACTCTGGCTTTAGTTCAGCCTTACATTTAAATCTACACCTTATTTGCCTTAGACAACTCAGCAAACTAACTCTTTCAAACTAAAATCTACAAAAAGAACAAGGCCCCGTGCATGGAATTACTTTTAGTCCAAAATATAAAAGTCACTCCCCTTAAGAAATTAATTTTAGTTCTCCCCTACATTAAAACAGACATCTCGCCCTGGCCAGTTTGGCTCAGCGGTTAGAGCGTCGGCCTGCGGTCCGGAGAGACCCGGGTTCGGTTCCCGCTAAGGGCACGTACCTCGGTTGCAGTTTGTCCCCGGCCTGGGTTGGTCGTGCGGGTGGCAGCCACTCGATGTGTCCCTTCACGTCGATGTTTCTCTCCCTCTCTCCCTTCCTCTCTCTCCCTCCCACTCTATCTGTACAAAAAAATGGAAAAAATATCCTCGGGTGAGGATTAAAAACAAAACGAAATAAAACAGACATCTCTCCTACCCCTGAGTTATCACATACCTTTGCATTCCCATTGTGCAGTCTATGATATCTGCCTTTCTCTCCACAACCCCAAAGCCACTGACATGGGGCTTCCTCCGAGAACACACAGATACTTGGTTACTTCAACTTAGCTTTGAAAATACAGTAAGGTATGTTACCACATACAGTATTTTGAATTTTAAGACCATTTCTAAGGAACATAAGTTGTGTTCCTTTACAACAGAACCCTCCTTGAATGTCTATGTTAAATTCTAATTGCAAAGATCCCAAAAGTCAAAATGAATTAAGAATTGGCTTTGACACGACCAAGTGAATAAATGAATACGTGATCATCCTGGTTCATGTGTTTGACACCAAAAGTTCACTATGTACACTTCATTGTTGAAACTCAATGTCAAAGAGAAGATTAAAAAATCTGATAGTTCTAAGTAATCAGAAGGGACTTAATAATACTGATTTTTTTTTTTTTTTTTTTTATCCTCACTCGAGGACATTTTTCCATTTTTTGTTCAGGTAGAGTGGGAGGGAGAGAGAGGAACAGAGAGAGAGAGAGAAACATCGACGTGAAAGGGACACATCGAGTGGCTGCCACCCGCACAACCGACCAGGGCCGGGGACAAACTGCAACCGAGGTACGTGCCCTTAGCGGGAACCGAACCCGGGTTTCTCAGGACCGCAGGCCAACGCTCCAACCGCTGAGCCAAACCGGCCAGGGCAATAATACTGATTTTTATTAACACCTGTGCTCCAACATCTTGATTTTAGGAGCAGCTTAGTGTTTGCATGATGATAGTTCCAGATTAAGTTTGAATGTGTTAATTATTCATTACAATTACGAGGGAGATGAATCACTAGACTGAATTAGGTGTGCAATGTTGTTCCACATCTTTCTCGCTATTAACTAATAAACAATTAGAAGAAAGGAAATCTTCCCCTTTCAAATACCAAACCAGTAAGAATCAATATATGAAATTTTTCCTCCATTAAAATCTGCTGTGGCTGAAAGACAATAAATCTCTCTTCCTGGCTCTGATCTAGAACTTGACTTGGTTAATAATGACTGATTTCAGACATCTATGAAGTGACACTGAACCTCTGATACAGACTTCACTGATGTTGGAATTCCATTGCAGGAATTGCTAACGGTGTTACAGAAGTCCAGTACTAGGAGGAAAACAAAATGTTTATCTGTCTAGGATTATTTACATATTTGCATCAGTTTCTAGCCCACACAAAGAAGCACCATCCTAACATAAACTGTTAAATAAAATTACTGGGAATAATAAACATGAAACCATCACTATTATTAATATCTGCAAATAAGGAGATCCTGGATGCAAATCAATTGGAAGTCAGCTTAAGAGAGCACATAATTAATTTAAACAGCTAATCAAGCGACACGGTGAATAAGTCTAAGACCATTTTCTGAAGCAGAATAAAAAAACAAAAACAAAAATCATCCACTCTTGCGATTCTTCCTGTGGGATTTCTCTGCCCTTGTTAGCTAACACCGAGTGTGAATGCTTTTCTTCTCAAAACAGTTTGCTTTAAAGCAATTTGCTTTTCACTGAAATTTTTTAAGTGTGATTCGAGGAGAAAATACAGAAGCATTCATGTGTGCCTTTCGGGCCCCAACCCCTTTCTCCAGAACAGTGACAAGAGTAATTTTCCATAATTGCTTTGTAAAATTCTCTTGTGAATAAGTCAACGTTCAGAAAGAGACTATGTGTTTTTAACTCAAGATTTACAAAGACTTCCTCCCAAAATCTGCAGAGCATTTCCTTCAAGTAAAGATACTTCGTTGTTTTTTTTTTTTTTATAACTTAATGTTTCCAAATATCTAAGCCATCCATAAGATTAAAAATAAAATTTTCACCACTCCACTTTCAGTAAGAATCTAACAAAATCATTCATCATTGTTTTTTTTTTAATCCTCACCCGAGGATATTTTTCCACTGATTTTTTTTTTTTTTTAGAGAGTGGAAGGGAGGAGGGGGAGAGAGAGAGAGAAACATCAATGTGAGAGAGACACATTGATTGGTTGTCTCCCACATGACCCTGACCTGGACTGGGGATCGAACCTGCAACCCAGGTATGTGTCCTTGACTGGAATCGAACCAGAGACCCTTCGAACCAAACCCGCCAGGGCATCATTCACCATTTTTAACATTTCATCATATCTCTCTGTCTGCATACAATAGTGCCCATCTCCTGATGTTGCTGAAGAGCCCAGCACTCAAGAGGTATTATCCCTTATTATAATCATGCTGTGTGCATATCAGAGAGCAAGCCAGAGGTAAAGCCAGGATTAGAATTACCTTCTTAAATTCTTGGTTTATCGAGAAGGTAAATCTGGAGAACGACTGACCTCTCCAGCAGTACCTGACTTCCCCACTAGGAATTCGAGACCTGCCCCATCTATCAGACAACGAAGAGGGATTGACAGCAGCTATATCCAATGCATGTCCAGAGCTAACATAATTTAATTTTATACCTCTTACTAACTAGTAATCATAGATCCATGAAAAAAAATAACATGCAAAATCCAAAAGTTTTCTCCTTCATTCAATGCAAATTCAATCCAATCACTTCATCCAGACCTCTTTCATGTTAAGCACCCACACTTTCATTTTCAATTCTCTTAGTCATATTATCAGACCCCACATTTTCTTCTTCTTCTTCTTTTTTTTTATCCTCGCCCGAAGACATTTTTCCCTTTTTTTTCAGATAGAGTGGGAGGGAGAGAGAGGAAGAGAGAGAGAGAGAGAGAGAAACATCGATGTGAAAGGGACACATCGAGTGGCTGCCACCCCCACAACCCAACCAGGGCCGGGGACAAACTGTAACCGAGGTACGTGCCCTTAGTGGGAACCGAACCCGGGTCTCTCTGGACCACAGGCTGATTCTCCAATCGCTGAGCCAAACCAGCCAGGGCCAGACCCCAAATTTTCATTTTCAGTTCTCTTAGTCATATTATCAAGAAAAATGCAAACTACTCAGAGAAGTCAACATCCTGGGCTATTATCTCACACTCACTCTTAAGTAAGTAAATATTTTCATTTGCCAAATGGGGAGTTCTTCCATTGGAGACATTCAACAAGACTTACCCAGAAGACACTGGAAGTAGGAAGCCCTACCTGCATTCCCCTATTCTCACTCCAGAAGACTTCCAGCTGCCTGATCTCACCAGAGCAGGACTGCTTCCTGTTACTCAGGTGGAAACAACAGACGCTGCAGAAGTAGGAATATGTGCACTTGCCTTTCAGAAAGAGTTTGTCACACACACACCTGAGATCCTTTTATCCTGCACCCCATTGCCTCTCTGAACACACACACACACACACACACACACACACACACTACAATCATCAGGCAATCACAATACATTTTTTAAGAAATAAAAAAACCTTTAATAAAATAAGTAGATGGTGTGATGACTCTATTCCATTTTGGAGTCATCAGACTCTAAAGAATGTGATTTTTTAAGGTGCACAAGCTTGTTGAGTTTCTCAGTGAGGTTACTGCAATGCTTCGCTCCCTAAGGTAAACTGAAATTTGAATTGTAAGAAGTCTAACTTCTATTATTCATCTGCAGCACCTGTGCCAATTTCATTCATAAATAATTTCAAAATGTGGATTTTAAAAGAGTAGTTTATTTACCTCAGTCCATCAACTTTGTTTTATCAGGAATACTACTGAAAAACTTGTGTTGCTTACTTCCTATACCTGAGCTTTGAGCAACCTATGGGGCAGACTGTGGACCCAGAACACAGGCTAGTTGTTTCCTGAAAAATAATAATAATAATAATAAAGCTGGTTTCTAACCTAGGTTCAAGTCTTGGCCCTGACTCCAAGGCAAATCTCTCTTCCCCTGCTATATCCGTGAAGAGGAACCACAACTAACCCCCACTTAGACCACTGCTTTTCAAACTGTGCTCTCAGGAAGCCTGGAGTTGCTTAGAAATGCTTCAGTATTTGAGGGAGGTCAAGGAAGGAAATAGGTTTTTAAGGTTTCGATTTAAGGAGATAGGTTTTTAAATCTACTTTTAGATTAAGGCTCCATCCACTCAATATTTTTGTTTGAAAAAAGTGGGTTATGCTGCACCCCCACTTTTTTAATCCAAATGAAAACCTGTGCGTTCTACTTTGCCTAAAAATGACAGAAGTAGAAATCACAATGCAAGTGTTTTGAAGTTGCTCTAAGATAATTTTCACTGTCACAAAACAAGGAGATGGGGAATGGGCTGCAGAGAGGAGATGCTTGCTCTGCATAAGCAGAACCATTCTCAGCAGAACCCTTCCCTGCTGGGAGTTCAGAACGTGGCAGAGGGTAAGAGCAGAAACCAAGACACCAGCACCCAGCACGTTTTAGGAGCTGCAACCTCTCATTTGGAAACTCTAGATAGAATTAAGTTTATATTTATATGTGTGTAAAAGAACAAATATATGTGTATTTCTAAAAATTCAAATAATATAAGTCAGTTTTAAAAATATTACTTAGCAACAATATAAAAATATTCTGGTCACCCATCCCAGGGATAAATAAAAAGACAGGGGATCTGATTTCTGTGCCTGCTTTTAGTGGATATGAGTCATGGCTATCCCTAGGATGTTACTGATGAAGTAAAATAGGTATTTGTTTTATAAACAAAAAATTTCCCTTAAGGAACTCAACTTCTCCTTTGTCAGAGTTGTCTGATAGGCATTTTTGTGTGGCTCTAACGAACACTTTAGAAAACTCGGAATAGCTATAATATATTTTACAAAGATTGTCTAAATTAATACCAAAACATGTACTAATATCTTGTGGGCTTCTTCTAGTCTATACTGTTATAATTATAAAATCTTGCATCAAATTCTTTTAGAAAGCTATGCGCAGAAATATTTACAGGTAAAATGACATAATGTTTGGGACTTGCTTTACAATACTACAGAACACAAAAAAGAGTGTGTGTGTGTGTGTGTGTGTGTGTGTGTGTCTGTGCGTGCCAATAGAAAAAAAACAAAACGTGGTCAATTATTGAAGCTGGATGAGATAATGAGATATATGTGATTTGAAATTTTCTATTATAAAAACTTTTTAAAACTTCCTTTGGAAAGTTGTCAGATTATGTCAACAGTACATAAATACTATACATGTTATAGGACCAAAATATAGGCTTAAACCAAAGGATTAAAAGAATTTGTAAGACATTCTCTCAGTTACACAAGCAATTTGTAAGTGAATAGTTTTCCAGGGATACAATAATCCAATACCTGTTATCAATATTTATCAATCACAAACACAAAATAGAAGTGACTCAAAAAGCAAATTGACTATCTGGGCTGGACTATGGTCCTTAAATTTGTGTACACATCACATTACCCTGAGCCATAGTTTTAGACAGAGTCTATACATTTTAATATGAGAGAAAAGGCTGATCAATATCAAACTGCAGGAGCTACAAGATGCTTACCTTGACGCAAGGTAAGTAAGAGTGAGAAGTAAAGGGAAAGGTATGTTAATGCACAAAATCAAATAATTGAAAAGAAAAAGACAGAAGTGTCAAAAATGTTTCTTCCTTGACCTTGAGAAAGAACACATTTAAATGCACCTTCATTTCAAAGGAAACTCGTAATCAAATAATCGCATTAAAAAAATCACTCTTTACCTTGTAAAGGATACAAAGGGTTGTTTCTTCGAGAACCTCAAACTCTGTCAACATTTAAGTGGTTCTCAAGCTTGAGCATCCGTGAGAATCAACCAGAGGGTTGTTAAAATGGGCTGCAGGGCCCACCCTCAGGCCACACTAGGAGACCTATGGGCGTATTCCATGACCAGCTCCTGCGTATGACCAAATTTTAAAAAAGAGCCACAATTTTAAAAAATGCAATGCACATTCTATAAGAAGCATTTTATTCAACTGAATTTGGAGGCAGAGCAAGAGTGTTTCACGAAGAGAACGATCACCCTGGGGGGAGAACTGCATTTTCACAGACTAACAAATGAAATAGGTACCAAATAATTTAGAAACCTCACGGTACTTTGGTAGCTGTAAACTGTTACAATGTTGCAACTTACAAAAAGATGCTACTATCTGAGAACAGAGTTCCACCATAACCAAAACACAGACTTCAAACAATACCTCCTTCACAGAACTCATTTAAACAGCTGATAAACTCTGTTTCACATCCTCTCACTGGTCCTGGAATCTGGGGGAGAGCTGCCTCCAATCACCTTCAGTTACAGCAGCAGCTGTGGAATGCTCTCTGCCACCAACAAACTGTTGCTGCAGTGACCACAAGGGACCCCCAGGTCAGAGCCGCCTCCATCCTTGGCGGATGAGTCAACACAGAACTAACCCAGTTACCACCCGGCACAGCAAGGCAGTGCATTCGGGCCCGGATCACAGGCACTCGGGCCAAGTTAAGAGCCAACAACCGGCAACCACAGCCTGGGTACAGTACATTAATTTCCTTTGTAAATTTCTTAACACAAAGCCCAGTGGAAGGGTGGGGGAGGAGGAGCAGATCCTGAAGAACTGCTGGTCGAATTCCACCCAGGGTTTACCCGCGATTCAGTCCCCACTAACTGCTTCCTCCAAACCAGCCCTCTCAACAACAGCTGGAGTCCAGGGGACCATTCGGATTTCAACAAGTTCAAAGCCTTCTGCATCTACACCAGAATGACAATAGTTTCGATGGATCAGTTTTAGGAAACCTGTTAGGCAGATGACAACTAACACAGCTACTCAGTGGGTAGGTAGCATAACACCCTTAAAAATCTAGTTTTTAAAAAAATCGTGGTAGGCTAGCATTACTTTTTTCCAAGGAAGATGTTGTTATCGTTGTAATTAGACAGTTATTAATATGAATAAAAGGAAGAAAACAAAGGGAAGTCAGTCACTGTAAGCATGGTCACCTGGGCAGCTTCACCAAAGAGCTACAGCTTCATGCTCCCCAGGGAACCACCAGTCTATTCCCTGCAGATCACTGGGGGAAGGGATTGGATAAAGTGGGGGATGGGCCCCTGTCCAGTGAAGTCAGGGTGTAGCCAAGAAGGTGCTTGCCTGTCAGTCTAACCTGGGAAACAATGGATTGGCTAAGAGGGTGGAGCCACTGCAAGCATTCGAAATCTTGAAAAGTTAATGGTTAAGCTCCTGGTTAAAACCCCAGACAAAGGGCTTTCTCACCCGCTGTGACCCACACTCGCCATTTGCTCCTGCACTTGCCCGTTCTCTCTGCATAGTCATGTGGCCTTAAGCAACCACATGGCCCACGGCTGTGAGGACCCCACACACAATGCACTGTAGCTGGGAACACAAGCTAAGCTAGTCAGATGCTGAGCAGGACTGGACTTTAATAGGGAACAGAAATTCTGGGCCTTAATTCTGGCCCTACTGAAGACAATATTGGATTTCTTCCATGGCGAGACGGATCAAGATGGAACCTTGGAGGGGAACCCCCTTAATTTTACACTATCAATAAAGCTTTCCACAAAACCCCATCCTCCTATGGGGGCCTCAGGAAATTCATTTCCTCACAGCACCCCAAGAACTCCACTTCTACTGGTAACAATTTGATGATGGTGTCAGTTCATAGATTTTCCTTTCATTTATACTCAAATTATTTATTTATGGCAAAAAATACAGCAAACATCATGGGGTGTGGTTGGGCTAGCGGTTCTCAAGTCTAAGAAAACAATTCATATACACACACATTCTAGAGTAGAGGAGATAGGGGATTTGGAATCCAACTGCATAGAATTTAATTCCAACACCTAACTGTGATCCTGACAAAAAAGCTATGATTTTGGCTCCTCGTCTGTAAATTAGGAGATAAAATATTACTCATAGGAAGAGTGTGGGAATCAAAAGAGCATGTAAATTATTTAAGGAGCAAAAACAGGAATGCTAATAAGGCCATGCAAATCTAAATTTGCAAATACCAACAAAGTCTAATACAACTTTAAGAAAAGTACATGTCATTTGTCTATGAGCCTTGGAAGTTTGTAAAAGCCACAAATTAACTTGAATATTACTTAATGTTTTATGAATAGCCTGACAGAGTTTTCTACCATTTCCTGATTTTGCCTTCATTTTGGGCACAGCCACATTACAAGAAGAAAGCAAGCAACAAAACCAAAGGCAAGATAATAGCTTTTAACCTTCTACTAAAAAACAGATCTGCAAGACAGGTTGTGGATGACTCAGTTCTTTTACTTTGGGGACAAGGCAGATGATCAAGAAGGTTACATGCCGTGACTTATAAACATGGGTGTGTACATGAGCAGGGTCACCAAAATGTATGGCAAATGTTATGACCCAATCACCATTGCTAGCTTACAACAATAGTAATAATAATAATAAATATTTACTGAGTATCTAGTATGTCCTATGGGCTGTATTACTTCTTTTAATCCCCGTGACAACCCTAGAATTTAGGTGCTTTTCTAGTAAGTCCTACTTCACAGACAAAGAAACCAAGATGAGTAAAATGAGTTTTCAAAAAGAAACAATGGTTGCTACATCAAGAGTTTCACAAATAAAGCATTCAAGAATTCAGAAAGGCAATGAACTGCTCTGCTGGACCTGTGGAAGGCCTTTGACCTGCAGACAGCCAACCACTCATGGATAACCCATTGTGTATGTATGCCCAGTTAGGTAACCTTCCCGATGGTTGCAAGGAGCATATACGTGACACCTGGTCACACTGTGTAACCTATGGACAAGGGTGAGCAATGGAAGGATAAGAAATGGTATCAGATATTAGGGCCAGATGATAGGATACACAAAAGGAGTTTTAGCAACCAGTAAGAGATTATGCTGATGTTTCATGGTAACATGTTTGGAGGTGTAAGTGGCTTGATAAATACCTACTGGGGTTTCCTTAGAGCTGGCAGGATCCATCCGAAACAGGCGAAATATCTTGGTAACTAAGCTGAGCATGTTGAGGATGTAGAGAAATTTTAAAAGCTGCACCACAGGACATCCCTAGCCAGATGCCTCTAATGGTCTTGTGCTTTGCTAAGAACGTCAATGCTCCTTTATTGCAACTACCAACACTTCTACGGTGGGCATATCAAGTGCTCATTTTCACCAAGGGTCATACTCACTTTTCTGCAGAACCATTTCAATCCTGTTAGATGTTCCCCTGGTCAAAATTAAGACACTCACTCAGTATCTCTTAGAAAATAATAAAAATATATCCTATCTCTATTTCAGTAATGGTGAGAGAGTCAGTACTAGATTTTTATTTTTTTATAAAAGAGGTTGAATGGTTTTCTTTATTCACTGTAGTTATAAGAAACTTTAAAATCTTTCTTTAAGGTCAAAGACATCTTTACAGAAATTTACTACCACTTTACTTGTCATAACCTCCCACTTTTATAACCAATGTGGAATGGGAATGAATTCCGATAATAGTTTTGATCCATAAAATGAGTTGGAAAATCACTTTTAAAATAAAAAAGTGCTCAAATGTTAAATATTTAATATTTAAACGACAACAAAAAGATAAGTAACAAAGGTGCCTTCAAAAATAATAAGCTGCTGGTTACTGGCCTTTATGACTCTCCTGTAGGAGCTACACAGAAGCTCTCTGGTTCGATCACTTCTACATTCAGTTCACAGGAGCCTGGGTTCCAATCTCAGCCTAACGGTTTACTATGATTTGGGGCAAATTATGCAGCCTCGCCAAACCTGACTTGTTCCTATTTTATTTGAGTATTTGCCCTGCCTTTCTTCTTCTTTTTTTTTTAATCCTCACCCGAGGACATTTTTCCATATTTTCTTCAGATAGAGTGGGAGAGAGAGAGAGAGAGAGAAACATCGACGTGAAGGGGACACATCGAGTGGTTGCCACCGCATGATCCAACCAGGGCTGGGGACAAGCTGCAACTGAGGTACACGCCCTCAGCGGGAACCGAACCCGGGTCTCTCTGGACTGCAGGCCAATGCTCTAACCATTGAGCCAAACCAACCAGGGCTGGCCCGCCTTTCTTATGAAGCTATAAAGAACTTAGTAGATGAATTGTTGTGCTACAAACATCCTTGTGAGTCAGAATGTTCTCCGTGTTTCATATTTGGTTTACATCATCCCTGATACCATCTCAATGTACCGTATTAATTCAGCATGATACTGCATTTTCTCTCTTCAGCAATGTCTATAATCTCCCATACCCATAGAGTCATTAAAACATTTGTTATTCACTTCAAAAGGTCTACATAAAACCTTCATTAAAAAGTTAGTTATACCCTGGCCAATTTTGCTCAGTGGTTAGAGCATTGGCCCTCAGACCAATGAGTCTTGGGTTCGATTCCGGTCACGGGCATGTACCTCAGCTGCAGTTCGTCCCCGGTCATGCGGGAGGCAACCAGTAGATGTGTCACTCTCACGTCGATGTGTCTCTCTCTCCATCTCTCTCCCTCCCTCCCACTCTATCTGAAGATAAACAGAAAGATACCCTCGGGTGAGGATTAAAAAAGAAAAAAAAAGCCAGTTATAATTTCCACTTGTTAAGAAAATATAAAATAAGGTAAAGACAAATATTTTATCATGGCCAATTCTTTTTTTTTTTTAATTTTTTTTATCCTCACCCGAGGATATTTTTCCATTTTTTGTACAGATAGAGTAGGAGGGAGAGAAAGGAAGGGAGAGAGAGAGAGAAACATCGACGTGAAGGGACACATCGAGTGGCTGCCACCCGCACGACCAATCAGGGCCGGGGACAAACTGCAACCGAAGTACGTGCCCTTAGCGGGAACCGAACCCGGGTCTCTCCGGACCACAGGCCGACGCTCTAACCACTGAGCCAAACTGGCCAGGGCTATCATGGCCAATTCTTGACAATAACTTTCTGGGTTAAAATGCAGAAAATATAGCAAATCTCAGTGTAGGTTCAGGGGGAGAGAGACTCCTTCCATTCAATTGTTTTCTTCTGCCACAGCAAGGTAATTCCACAGCTAGCACCAATGCCAATTTCAGAAGCAACATGACAAGCAACCACACTAGAAGTTCCGGATTGAAGGAGTTACTTCTTGATGTTCAATGTAGGGTAGATGAGCCTATAGTAATAATTCTTTTTTCCACTACTTTCAAAAACAAGTCTTGATAGGCAAATCAGTTACCCATGAAAATAGATGCAATTCACTGAAATGATCTAATTTTATGATCCAATACAAGTTGCTATTTTTAACTTTATAAAAGTATCGTTCCTTAGAAGAAGGGAGAATTCTAAATATCACATCAAAATACATGTCTTTTAAAATTAGAAATGGTTGTCCAGCCGGTGTGGCTCAGTGGATGAGTGTCAACCCATGCAGCAAGAGGTCGCTGGTTCGGTTCAATTCCTGGTCAGGGCACATGCCCAGGTTGTGGGCCAAATCCCAGGTAGGGGGCATGCAGGAGACGGCCAATTGATGTTCTCTCTCATCGATGTTTTTCTCTCTCTCTCTTTCTAAAAATCAATAAAGAAAAAACATTTTTAAAAATAAATAAATAAGAGATGATTTAAATGGAATAACAGTTATCTCTGGGGACAACTGTTTAGAGACTGGTTGATCACCTACCAAGAATGAAAGAACCAGGAACTTATACATCCAAGATGACGTGGGGCATCCTGGTGGGACACTTCTCAAGTGTCTGCTTACAGATGAAAACATTCAAATACAGAAGGAGGTAATATGAAAAATAAATATATACTACTATCTCCTCCAATCAGGCTCACTATCCACGGGTATATTTTGTTAGATTACTCGAATCTTTGAGATATGTTCTATGTACATAAACTGTTCTATATTTAAAAATTTCCTTAATTTGTTATGCCTGTATTCAGCAAATTCCTTTTTTCACTTAACATTGTTTTTCATTTTTGAGAGTATAATATTCCAGTTTGATCCCAATAATGAAAAAAACATGTTTAATTGATACAAATAATGCTCCAATAAGGTCCCATCTGTGGACACTTATACAATACAGTGTGGTACTAACTCCTAAAATTGTGAAATATGCACACCAAGTTTTGAATGATTGCTCTTGAAAACCTTTGTACCATCGACAGTAGAACATGTTTCTTCACATTCTTGCCAATTCTGGCAAGACAGTTAAATCTCTGCCAATCAGATGGTTAAAACATGTTATTTGTTTTAATTTTTATGTCATCTCCCTGATTATTAATAAGATTGAGTGTATTTTCATAGGTTTACTAGCTATGTCTTTTTTTTTCTGAATATCTGTTAAATTCTTTTCTTTTTTGTCCATTTCCTTTCAATTCTTTTAGAGGTTCATAATGAGATACATAAGGATAAAATTATACAACCAATTTTTTTCAAAATAACCCAGGGAAGAAATAGAGAATAGGGGTGGGGTTACAGATAAAACAAGATAATAGTAGGTAATAAAGTTGGTTATAAGTTTATAATTTCTGAAGCTGGGTGATAGGTACCTGGGGATCCATCATATTATTCTCTTTTGTGTATGTTTTAGTTTTTTTTTCATAGTAAAAGTTTTTAAAGTGCTCTGCTCATTTTTTTTTCTAAGATGTTCATATTTAATATTTCTAATTGCTATAAGAACTCTTCGTGGAATACAGAAATTTGCTCTTTGTTACAGACTCTATAAATAACCACCCAGTTTCTTTCTATGGACAGATAGCCCAATACTATTTATTGATTATCCATCTTTTCTCTGCTGCTGATGTGGAAAAACCACCTTTCTCCTGCACTAATTTCTAATATATATATGAGTCTATTTCAAGACATCATGTTGTCCCATTGATTTTCTTTGATGTATATGCAGTTGTAATTTCTATACCTTCACATTTTTCTTTAGATTTTTTTTTTCAGGCTATTCTTCCCTAACAATTTTTCCAGAGGACTTAAAAATAATTGTGTTAATTTTCCTAGGCGCTTGTTATACTTATAAACACCCCACTCTGTATTGTCGCCTTCCCAACACACTGTAGCTTGGTTTTCTCGTTACACCAGTGTATTTTCATGTTTCTAACTGGGGCCTCTCACCTGTCGCATTCTGGCTCTGGATTCACTTGACATACTGCTAGCCCACAAATGTTAACTAATTCTTTCTCAGTATAGAAGATATTTTTTTAGTTATTGTGAAAGGTCAAACTGCCAAAACAGATTGGTATAACATCTGAACACCAGCATTTATATAACCCTTATTTTTATAAATAAGTACCTGACTAGAAACTCAATAAAGGAGCATGTCATAATCAGCCCGAGGCAAAGGGTTTTAAATATAATGCACTCATTTTGGTCATAAGCATTTCAGTTTTATTTTATAGGCCCACAGCTTCATCGGAAGATGTGACTTCTTATAGAAGGAAAATATCTTTTAAGTGGCCTGATCAATTTATTAGAAATACCCAGCATTGAGCATCTGTTTTCACAGAGCAACTGTTAAGTTAATCCGTGTTAAGTCGGCCTCAAAGCACTTGGACACAGCTACAGGATGCGGGTGTAACCGGATCCACAGACAACACCTGATAGGTCCTGGCACATGCCAGGTCAGAAAGAAGAAACAGAGAAGAGGGAAAGTCTATCCTAGAATCAAAACTTCAAAAACCGGGCAGTTTCTTGAGTTTGTTTTGAAGAAATTCAATCCCTCCCCATCCAGATGAATTCCCCACCCTAAAGTAAAACCTCCCCCAAACAAAAAGTAGGCTGCTCCATTCAATTCATATTTTGTGAATTAATGGAATCCAAGAGTCACTCGAAACCACCAAAGGTCCATAGTAACTTTCTCCTGAATCTACTGTCAGCCTGAGCTGACTGGAGAAAAACACTGATAGAATGGGACTGGTAACTTTTCTATTACACAGTCAGTGCTCTGTGTGAGCAGGTCCAGATGTCAGTCCTGCTTACTACCCTTTCAAGAAGCTTCTGCAGGTGCTAGAAGCCAAGGGTCCCTTCAGAAAGACCTCTCAGTTATCTCCTTCCCAGTCCCCTTTGATAGGTGGTAAACAACCCCTTTGTTTCCAAAGGGGGTTTGCAGAGATCTTTGAAAGATAGCAGCCAGGAATTCTGTGGCCATCTCCAGCTGGTCCAAGCAGGCTAAGCTGTCACTAGTGCAGGGGCACTGCTGAAAATGCCAAGGAGGGGCAGAGCTAGGAGGGGCAGGAAAGTGGCCA